GATTTAAGTTAAGGTAAGGTTTAGGGTTAGGTTTAGGGTTAGGTTTAGGGTTATTTTTAGGGTTAGGTTACAGCGCACTTCTGTCGGTGCGCTGTTGTCGGCGCGCTTCAGCGCTCATTCGTCGGCGCGGTTTTGTCACCGCGGTTTAGTCAGGCGCGCTTCTGTCGTTCGCGCATTTGTGGTGGAACCAATTTACAGAGGAAGAGTCTAATTCCAATATGCAACATCACTAGGAAGCTATGGGAACAGAAGGTTGTTTCTCTCATAAGGACAGATAGTTCTTTTTGTGGCCCGCCAGCAATCAGTGGAGTTGGCGACAGACTTGGACGATTAGGAGGTTGGGGAGAAACCTGGGCCAGTTCTGGAGTCTGGGGAAGGCTCTGATGGATGCTCTGTATCGGACACAGAGATAGAGCCAGGGCCGTCCGACATTTCTCAGCCACAGGAGTGTCAGCTGCCTTTGGAGGCTGAGATGAGTGAGGAGGAAGAACAGCTTGGGCCTGTTCCAGATGCACATATGCGCAGAGCAGTTAGGAGAGGCGAACAACAGAAGACAAGGAGTCAACTTGGGAAACAAAGCACGCATGGATGCTGAATGGCCCTGGCTGAGATCCTGAGAATAAATATAAGGAAAGGGGAGTGGTTGTCGTAGAAGACAACAGTTCGTATTTCTGGAGATTTTGCTCATGGTGTTTCGTTCAACAGACTGCTTGCCAGAACTTAATTTGCAGCTTTCCACTGGGAGCTCAGGGCCTTGCAATTATCACAAGGAACTGATAAGGTCTTTTGCTGCAGTTAACTCCTTGAAGGACTCTTGCCTGGACTTTTTGGTGGGTGAATGCAATTAATTCACAAGAGGACTCTGTTTCTTGCATCTGCCAAGGCTGAGTTAGAACAGTCCTCGACATACAATCACAACTGAGCCCAACATTTCAGCTGCTAAGCGAGACATTTGTTAAATGAATTTGCCCCATTTTGCAACATTTCTTGCCACGGTTGTTAAGCAAATCAGTGCGGTTGTTAAATTAGTAACATGGTTGTTAAGTGAATCTGGCTTCCCCACGGACTTTGCTGGTCAGAAGGTCACAAAAGGGGATCAAATGACGCCAGGATATTAAAACCATCATAAATCCGAGTCTGTTGCCAAGTGTCTGAATTTTGATCACCTGACCATGGGGATGCTGCAACAGTTGTAAGTGTGAAAAATGCTCGTAAGTCACTTTTGTCAATGCTGTTGTAACTCTGAATGTTCACTAAATGAACATTTCTAAGTCAAGGACGATCTGTTCCATACTATGTGAACTCAGTATAGCTGGAAGAAAACGTCTAAACTGGTTTAAAATTTCATTTTTAGAAACTGAAGTAATTTAATTAATAAATAAATTTTATGAAAAAAAAATCTATTTGCTATTTGTATGCATATATGCCTCACAGAATGGCAATAAAGATTCTCCGTCATCTAGGTCACGGTTGTCCCAAAGGTGCTTTTCCAAGAGGCAACTGGACTTCCTTGGTTTTTCTTTGATGACGTTTCACTTCTACTCAAAGAAGCTTCTTCAGTTCTGAACTTCTTGGACGAGAAGCAAAATGTCTTCAAGGAAAAACAANGTCTTTTGGTGGAGCTAATTTCTTAAGACTCATTCGGAGCGCACACCTAAAAACATTTGCATCTGAAAAACCTGCAGAGAAAGTTTAAAAAAAAACAAAACTCCAGAAACAACCAACATTTGTCCCACCTTTCTTTCGTAGCGTTCCTTCTAAGCGATAAAAAAACCCATGTTTTCCTAATTGCACAATTGTGACACTTTGCACTGGCGTTATTTGTTTTTACTGCATTGCATTCCCAAACATGTGATCGGAGCGCAAGAGAACTGGGGGGCGGGAGTGCCATTTTCATATGGGGGAAGGGGAGAAAGAGCATTCTTAAAACACAAAAGCAGCAATGTTAGAGTCCCTTTATCCTAAGAAGGGCTCGTAACCCCCTTTGGAGCCACGTTTTGTGTTTCTGCAGGATAAAAAGATCGGATACAAACGTGCAAGCAATGAAATGGAAAAATATCTTGCAAAGACCGCGAGGGGCTTCGCTCCCTGATTTCGACAAAAGTTCCTATCCAAGTTTGTTTCTATCCCACATTCGTAGCTAGCAGAAGGGGGGAAAGGAAACGGTGATAGGTCGGAAAAGCAAGCTTGAATCTAAGCCTCTCCAAATAGAAAGTCAGGGAACACCAAGTTTCACAGAATCGCAGAGATGGAAGTGACCCTGGAGGTCATCCGATCCATCCCCCTGCTCAAGCAGGAGACCATTTTACAGAATCAAAGATGGCGGTCATCTAATCCCACCCCCTAACTCAAGCCTGGAGATGCTTACAGGAGTACAGAATCAGAGCTGGAAGGGACCTTGGAGGTCATCTAGTCCAAACCCCTCGCACTAGCTGCAGAAAGCACCCAGTTGGAAGAGCCACCCCGCGGGCTCCTCCCTTCTAGCTGGACTCCTGAGGGTTTTGCAAACAGGTCAACGCTGGTTTTTATTATTTTTTAAGCAAGAGTTGGGAAACGGTTTAAGGTTTACCTTGTTTTCTCCACTTTGAATCAAGGCTTTGGTTAAGATAACGCGTCTCTCCCCACCATCCCACCAACCACAACATCACTTTCCCACCGGGCGCGAGTGATCTCTCGGTGTGACGCCCATAAACTTCCAAAGGGAGGGGGGGAGAAAGCCCGAAGCCTGAGCCTTTGCAGAGGGCAAATACCGCTTCCCGGGGAGAAGAGGGTTTCTGCAAGGTTTGGTCCCCGGCTTGGCTGACGTGAGGATCGCGAACTCACATTCAGAAGATCCGCAAATGATGCTCTCGCCGGCTCTCCATCCCCGCGCTCCTGCGCCACAACCGCCAGCCCGCACCTGTCCTCACCTGCAGCCTAAACCCGCAGCTCTGGCAGCCTTCCCACGGCCCATAAGCCCCCAGGGCACGGGGTGGGGAGGGGGAGAGAATGTCTCCGCTCAGGCCAACTAAATCAATCGGTGAGACGGCGATTCAATCCAGCATGCGGAGCGATCAGGGTTTTAACCAATCGATCCGTAGGCGCAAAAGGGCTGCAGCTGCGTAGTTTGCACAGCTATTTCTCTTGTCCTTCGGGGGAGCCATGTGTGTGGTTGTGTTTGTTGAGCTCAACTAACCCAATCCCGATTGGCTTTGGCTAAGAATAGCATCTCTGCAAAACTGGGCTGCAAAACTCGACACGGCCGCCGGCTGGCAGCCCAGAGTTGTTGTTCTTGTTCTCTTTCCTTGTTTTACCACCGCCACCACCCCCTAGCAGCCGTCTGGAGGATTGCAGCCCTGGTTTAGCAAGCTTGGGTTATAGTTTCCAGGAAAAAGGGTTGAGCTGATGAAATGATTTGTGTGAAGGGGTTGTGGGAGGGACGGAAAAGTGACATGTTTCAATTCCTGTAATGTTCAGCCTTGATGGTAGTCTAAGGAAGGAGTGGAAAAATCCCAATGGCCAGATTGAGAAAGTCCTGAATGCATGTTCTCCCAGGGCTGGTAATTCAGAGTGGGACAGAAATTGGAAAGCATGGAATGGGCACAGAATTTAAGGGAAAGGAGTTTAAAGTGTGGTTTTGGGCAGGTTTGAGGATATTGAGACTCTACTCCAAACCCTAACTTGACTCTTGAACAGAAAAACAACATTTCTGCTCTCTGGATCCACATCGACACCTTCAGGACCTCCTCGGGAGAGGGATCTTGGAGCCTGGCTGTAAAACCACCCAGTATTTCCAGATTCGGAGAATGGCTTTAGGAGAGATACCGAAGCAAACATTTCAGTGTTATCACTTCTATGCTGAATGAAGTCTCACCCACCATTTTAAAAATCAAGGATAGCCTCGCTTATCTCTAAGACCACACCTGGAATACTGCAACCAATTTTGGTCACCATACTACAAAAAAGTTGAGACTTTGGGAAAAGTGCAAAGAAGAGCAATTAGGATGATCAAAGGCCTGGAGACTAAACCATATAAAGAACAGCTGCAGGATTTGGGTTTGGCTAGTCTAAAGAAAAGATGAATTAGGGGTGACATGATAGCAGCATTCCAGTATCTGAGAGGCTGCCTCAAAGAAGAGGGGGTCAAATTATTCTCCAAAGTACCAGAGGGCAGGGCAATAAACAATGGATGGAAACTGATCAAGGAGAGAAGCAACCTGGAATAGTAGGGTCTCCTGCATGAGCAGCGGGCTGGACTAGAAGACCTCCAAGGTTCCTCCCAGCTCCTTCATTCTATTCTCTGGCTACTTTGATAAGTTACGCAGCAAACTTACTAAGACCAGGCCAGGGTTTAACTAAGTTCAATAGACAACACAAGCACAGATCCATTCCTGGAGATTTCACAGATATGTTTGTGATAATGTAGTCCCAGAACACAGAACCCCATCTTATTTTATTCACTTCTTCATTAGATTTATATTCACCATTGTTCACAGGCTCACAGCAACATTAACCATGGGCTGCTTCAGAGGTACTTTCTTCTTTGCATTTCAAATTATTAAATATGTGTACCTCTGAAGGCCATTGCGGTTTGGTTTCACAATCTCTGAACAGCCTTAATTTTTGCTAAATCTTTTTCTAATCAGGTAGTCCTCGACTTAACAACTAAAATTGAGCCCCAGATTTCTGTTGCTGAATGAGACAGTGGTTCAGTGAATTTTTGCCCCCATCTCGTGACCTTTCCTCCCAAGGTTATTAAGTGAATCATTGCAGCCATTACTGAACATGGTTGTTAAGCGAATCTGGCTTCAAGCAGTTTGGCACTTCGATTGTCATTGGCTCAAGGTACACACACACTCTCTTACATATATATTTATATATCAGTGACTGCATTACCTCTGTAAATGCCATACATTAAATAAATAATAATATAAAAGCCCGTAAGAAAACCTGATTTTTAAAAAAAATACAATGGAAGTGAGATTTGGTTTGGTTTGCTCAAGGCCTGATGACCCACCTAAGCAGCTGACTCATCTGGCTGAGCAAGTCAAAAGATGAAGAGAGCCAAGGGCTATTCCAGTCCTCTGAGCAACTTATCCAGGTTCTGCAGGCAAACAAAAAATTACCAGAAGTTACTCATCAAATAAGAATTAATAAGGAGCAGGTTCCATTCCATCCTCTTCATACTTAACTTAGGGTAGAAAGTTACCCTGTTTCCCCGAAAATAAGATATCTCCGGATAATAAGCCCAATCGAGCTTTTGAGTGCATGCGCTAAAATAAGCCCTCCCTGAAAATACTGCAACACAGCAGCAGCTATGAGGTGACCATGCTCGCC